CCGAGCGTCACGTGATCACAACTGAGCCAATGGTTCTTCTCTCTCGCTGCGGGATTGTAGGTAATCATCTCCCATGCTCGGTCTCAGTCGGCGTGCCTCACTCGTATAGTCAACATCCGTGCGAGCGTATACTGTTTACTATAGTACTATAGTGTTGTGACCACGTGTATACTGTTTACTACAGTACTATAGTGTTGTGACCACGTGTATACTGTTTACTATAGTACTATAGTGTTGTGACCACGTGTATACTGTTTACTACAGTACTATAGTGTTGTGACCACGTGTATACTGTTTACTACAGTACTATAGTGTTGTGACCACGTGTATACTGTTTACTATAGTACTATAGTGTTGTGACCACGTGTATACTGTTTACTATAGTGTTGTGACCACGTGTATACTGTTTACTACAGTACTATAGTGTTGTGACCACGTGTGTACTGTTTACTATAGTACTATAGTGTTGTGACCACGTGTATACAGTTTACTACAGTACTATAGTGCTGTGACCACGTGTATACTGTTTACTACAGTACTATAGTGTTGTGACCACGTGTATACTGTTTACTATAGTACTATAGTGTTATGACCACGTGTATACTGTTTACTATAGTACTATAGTGTTGTGACCACTGTTTACTACAGTGCTATAGTGTTGTGACCACGTGTATACTGTTTACTACAGTACTATAGTGTTGTGACCACGTGTATACTGTTTACTACAGTACTATAGTGTTGTGACCACGTGTATACTGTTTACTACAGTACTATAGTGTTGTGACCACGTGTATACTGTTTACTACAGTACTATAGTGTTGTGACCACGTGTATACTGTTTACTACAGTACTATAGTGTTGTAACCACGTGTATACTGTTTACTACAGTACTATAGTGTTGTGACCACTGTTTACTACAGTGCTATAGTGTTGTGACCACGTGTATACTGTTTACTACAGTACTATAGTGTTGTGACCACGTGTATACTGTTTACTATAGTACTAGTGTTGTGACCACGTGTATACTGTTTACTATAGTGCTATAGTGCTGTTACCACGTGTATACTGTTTACTACAGTACTATAGTGTTGTGACCACGTGTATACTGTTTACTATAGTACTATAGTGTTGTGACCACGTGTATACTGTTTACTACAGTGCTATAGTGTTGTGACCACGTGTATACTGTTTACTACAGTACTATAGTGTTGTGACTACGTGTATACTGTTTACGACAGTACTATAGTGTTGTGACCACGTGTATACTGTTTACTACAGTGCTATAGTGTTGTGACCACGTGTATACTGTTTACTACAGTACTATAGTGTTGTGACCACGTGTGTACTGTTTACTATGGTACTATAGTGTTGTGACCACGTGTATACTGTTTACTACAGTACTATAGTGTTGTGACCACGTCTATACTGTTTACTATAGTACTATAGTGTTGTGACCACGTGTGTACTGTTTACTATGGTACTATAGTGTTGTGACCACGTGTATACTGTTTACTACAGTATAGTGTTGTGACCACGTGTATACTGTTTACTACAGTACTAGTGTTGTGACCACGTGTATACTGTTTACTACAGTACTATAGTGTTGTGACCACGTGTATTCTGTTTACTACAGTACTATAGTGTTGTGACCACGTGTGTACTGTTTACTACAGAACTATAGTGTTGTGACCACGTGTATACTGTTTACTATAGTACTATAGTGTTGTGACCACGTGTATACTGTTTACTATAGTACTATAGTGTTGTGACCACGTGTATACTGTTTACTACAGTATAGTGTTGTGACCACGTGTATACTGTTTACTACAGTACTAGTGTTGTGACCACGTGTATACTGTTTACTACAGTACTATAGTGTTGTGACCACGTGTATTCTGTTTACTACAGTACTATAGTGTTGTGACCACGTGTGTACTGTTTACTACAGAACTATAGTGTTGTGACCACGTGTATACTGTTTACTATAGTACTATAGTGTTGTGACCACGTGTATACTGTTTACTATAGTACTATAGTGTTGTGACCACGTGTATGTTTACTACAGGACTATAGTGTTGTGACCACGTGTATACTGTTTACTACAGTACTATAGTGTTGTGACCACGTGTATACTGTTTACTATAGTACTAGTGTTGTGACCACGTGTGTACTGTTTACTATGATACTATAGTGTTGTGACCACGTGTATACTGTTTACTACAGTATTATAGTGTTGTGACCACGTGTATACTGTTTACTATAGTACTATAGTGTTGTGACCACGTGTATACTGTTTACTATGGTACTATAGTGTTGTGACCACGTGTATACTGTTTACTACAGTACTATAGTGTTGTGACCATGTGTATACTGTTTACTACAGTACTATAGTGTTGTGACCACGTGTGTACTGTTTACTACAGAACTATAGTGTTGTGACCACGTGTATACTGTTTACTATAGTACTATAGTGTTGTGACCACGTGTATACTGTTTACTATAGTACTATAGTGTTGTGACCACGTGTATGTTTACTACAGTACTATAGTGTTGTGACCACGTGTATACTGTTTACTAAAGTACTATAGTGTTGTGACCACGTGTGTGTGCGTAAAGCATTCTTTTATTTCGTGTCCAAGTGTAGTGACTGTTCTTTTAGTAACTGTACTACAAGTGAAAGTCATCCTACACAATAACCCTCCTCTCCTATCTCTCGTCTCCCTCATACCAGCCACGATTACATGTAATTAATACATTTGATTACTTTATATTAAATTGAAATAATAAAAATATAAAAAGGTATTTTTTTATTAATCATTTTGAAATGAATACAGTATTTTTGGGTTGTGGAACGAATCATCTCAGTTTCCATTATTTCTTATGGGGAAATTCGCTTTGATATACGAGTGCTTTGGATTACGAGCACGTTTCCGGAGCGAATTATGCTCGCAATCCAAGGTTTCACTGTGTATAAAAATTTCAGATGAAGGTGTAAGACATGGCCAGTGCAGTCAGAACCTATGCTATAGTCTGCCTATGAGTAAATCACCAGGAAGATGCTCGGCCTCATCAGATCTCAAAAGCTAAGCAGGTTTGAGCCTGGATTGACGATCGCCGTGCATAGAAACAAGTGTCGCAAGCTGCTGTGGGGCTGCATCATCTGCAAGGGGCAGAGTAGCAAGATACATTGTTGTACTATACTATGCCCCAACGTCTTTGCTCCAGTCTTCACCAACCTGCACTGATCAGCATAGTGAAGTCTGGTCATATAACCCCCACGACTCACACGGTGTGCGGAGGCCCTCATCCAGCAGCGGACTGGCAAAAAGGGCCATACATATACATGCTACAGCCTGCATACACAGTACATGCTACAAGAACTCGGGATGGGCAGCGAACAGAAATGTTTGGTGCTAATATACTCGCTGCTGAAGCGGACGTCGCAGGCTGCGTTTCGTGACATTAGCAGAGCCAAGCCCATTACTGAGAAAAACAAAAACAAAGCAGTCTGTCGCCTAGGGGCCCCATGGGGTTCAGAAGGCAGTAGGTGGTGGCAGATGTAAAAGTCATTGAAACAGCCCAAATTATTGCCCTGACACACGAGGGCTCAGAATAGCCTTAATCCAGGCCGTTGCTGAACAACGGTGTAGATGTAGACCTCCGAAGCGTTTTCGGGTTGCACCGCGCATCGTTCGGCGCGGTGTCCGTCATATTCATCTCCTGCAGAATGTCCCAGCATGTCGGGCGAACATCGCCCATCGTTCCGAGCAGCAAGCGGTGCAGTGCGAAAATACAGCGGAGAGAGCCGTGTAGATCAGTGGTTCTCCGTCGGGGGTACGCGGACCCCTGGGGGTCACGTGGCAATGTCTCAGAGGGTACGTGAAGTGATTTATAAATGTGTGAAATTATATTCTTAGCTCTTTCAGTAAAATCACGTTGAAGGGAAACAATAAAATAATAATATATATAACAAAAATTCTCACGACGTTTCGACCATAACACAAACGGTCGTCATCAAGTGTGTCGGTTTGCTTTAATTTATTTATTTTCAAACTTTTCCAAAACAGAGGTTCTTTGTAAGCCATCTGGCTACCATGAGAGATTCGTTCATGAGGCTATCCACATATACAAGCACAGAGACAATTTCAACCGAGAAGATGGATTCTGGCTTAGCAATCATTGGAAAGATTTGATTAACCATTTCAGGTCTTAATTGATTGTTTACGCTTACAGTGGCTTTCGGACAGCATACATTAAATTTTTCGTCTCCCCCCTCCTCTTTTCAGAACATAGATGGACTAGTCCTTCTAAATAAACTGCCAAATCGCTGCGCGTGGCGCTGACGTTTTTATAAATAAATAAATACACCGTTTTAAAATAAATTAATGCAAACCGACACACCTGATGACGACCGTTTGTGTTATGGTCGAAACGTCGTGAGAATTTTTGTTTTATATATATTTTATTCTTTTATTGTTTCCCTTCAACGTGACTTTACCGAAAGAGCTAAGAATATGAATTACTGCAGTCACGAAAGCTTTAAATCAAAAGTGTGAAATTATGTCATACATGAGAGCTATTGGTGCATAATCGTGCATGAATCTGGCAATATTGAAATAACTACGATAACATTTTAATCCATATGCTAACCTGGAATGATATTAAAGACCTCTCTAAACTGGTTGATCATAAACAGCGTGATTTCCAACAGTAAACAGTGAGCGTGAACAACTTACATCAAGCATGCAGGGTGCCTGTTAATTTTTGTTTTATTCACTTGCAGTTACTTAGCTAGTTAGGATACCACACAAAATGGACAATTGGTTAAAATATTGATGATCATTATTCATACGCTTATTTCTCAGAACCATGTTGGGTCAGGCAAGGGGGTTACAGTAGCCATCAAAGGTTGAGAACCACCAGCGTAGATCATTCCCCTGCTCTCCCTGCTGAAAACTTTGACTTGAGCGGCACGTTTGTCTGACTTTGTCGCACTGCAGGCGAATCACCTTAGATGTCTCAACGAGTTCGTGGAGGCCCAGATGACGTACTATGCCCAGTGCTACCAGTACATGGTGGACCTACAGAAGCAAATGGGAAGGTACGGTCTAATCGCCTCCACAAACTATTCCTATTGTTTATCAAATGCGTGCAGCCTGCGTGAACATAAGGCTACAGGTACGTGCCACTGATGTTAGCCACTTAATGACTCCAGCATACTCGCAGAATTGAAGCTTTCTGCGGAATCCAAATGCATGTCAAACTTCCACATTATAAATATATGTTTGTGTTCATTTGCATTCTGGTCTTGTGCCCAGATTTATTTGGGAAGCTGTCGAAAGTAAGTTTGGCCAAAACACTAATGCAATTCTGATGGACTCAGAGCTGCAGTTCAGCAGTAAACAAACTTTGAAATGTGAGTGCGCTGAACCAGGTGGGTATACATGATAATCCCGTACCATTGTTGCTTTCGGGTTGAGTGCTCATGGTATTAAATCACCAATCCACCCGAGCAGCCATTGGATTTGAGAATAGTTAAGAATATTAGGGATTGGAAGCAATATGAACCATGTGTTGTTATAGTATTAATTATAATAACCATGTCTGGTTATTATGTTGTATCCATGTGTTGTTATGGCATGCATGAATAAGCACATGTACAAAAGACATTGAAAAACAACTCCAATAGCAGTCTGCATAATGCACAGACTGTGCACCAGCTCGCACCCTTATTGTCAAACTGACCTTTTCAATCTCACCCTGAGCATTGTCTCTGGGATGTTTTTTTTTTTAACGTGTTTGCTTGTTTTTATTCATTGCCCATATTCACATCTTGACAAATTGGCCAAGAAACACATTGTCATTAATCCCCATAGTTGGCGATGGAGACTTATTGGCTGGCGCGTTTTCTTAAAAAAATTGGCACAGATGTCTGCAAAATGCACAGCCGTGGTCGGATGGGACTGTGTGCTGTTTGTTGTCTTGGTGTGGTCTGGGACTATTTTTATTTTGCTGCCTTGCCCAAGATTGCAATTGTTGAAAAATCGTCAGGAATTGATGTACTTCTAGCAGCAATTTGTACTTAAATACTTTTAATGTTTTTTTTTATTTTCGCGTCTTGCTCAGCCTTCCTCTACTTGGCACTCCTGTCATGTGTTTTTGTTTTGCTTGTTGTTGTAACTTGCCGAGCCGCCCCTACTGGACGTCTGTAAAAAAAAAAAAACTTAACAACACATAAGATTCTTTCAGTTCTGAACAAAGTTTTCCCGCTCTCCGCCTTTCGCGTGCCGGCAGTTTCCCGACGACGTTCCTGCCCAGCGGCAGCGCGCCACTGCCGCCCGTCACGGTGCCGATCCCGGCCGCCCCGGCTGGCGCGTCGTCGCAGCTCACGGCGGCCGAGCCGCAGCCGGCGAGCGGAACGCGGCGCGCCCGCGTCCTCTACGACTACGACGCCGGCGACAGCAGCGAGCTCTCGCTGCTCGCGGACGAGGTTCGCCGCTGGAGCTCGACAGCTTTCCTCGTCCTCGCCCTCGCTCTCTCCCGTTTAGCTCTTCCCGTTTCTCACCGCTTGAAGCAGGCTGCTGTTTCCCGGCACTTACGTCAATGGCAAGGTTTCACAAAACTCCAGTTCTCACTAAAGTGTCCCCTTGCCTCATTTTGTCAGATTTTGTCCATTCCAAAACAAATTGTCGCTAAATGCCGCACGCGCCTAGTGACTACTAGGCGTGCAAAAAGCGAAGACGGTTAGTGCAGGAAGTCATCGCTTATCTCGGGCGCTCTTAAGTTGGTTCCATATGGAACAAGTGACCACTAGGCGTGCAAAAAGCGAAGACGGTTAGTGCAGGAAGTCATCGCTTATCTCGGGCGCTCTTAAGTTGGTTCCATATGGAACAATTACCTCGTAAGAAATTGCCTAAACATCCCAAGCAGGATCTTAACGAAAGTTTCATCGAGCTCATTTGGGGTTTTACACGTTTAGTAATGGAATGTTTTTTGAGACAAATGGGTAGATTTGAGATGGGAAGTGAAGGAATAACTTGAGAAATGGAAAACAATCAATTTTAGAGGCTGGCGTCATGAAGGTGAGTGTTGTAAAGAGTTAAATACTTGAGATAAACGGATGCTCAAATAGGCGTAGCCAAGAGGAAATGAAAATCGCTGATACGGTTTACGTATATCAGGAGTGTTGACGTTTAAAAACATGTAAATCTAGACATGCAAATCAGGAGTATCATTGTTAAAGCAAACGACTTTGATCAAAGCATAAAAAGGGCTGGTGTGGAATGAGAATTGTAATATATGCTGGGGAAACGTGGACTCTTGGAGGTAGGTAGGTAGGTAGGGTGGGAGGGAGGGAGGGAGTACAAGCCGCTGAAATACAATTGCTTGAAAGCACGGTGTTAAAAATGAGACAAGATAGGCTGAAGAACCACCACGTTGTGTGGGTCCACGGTAACAGAAATAAAACTGCTTGAAAGGATAGAGCAGCCGCGACTAAAGTGGTTCCATCACGTGCGGAAAAGCAGGCTAAAATCTTGATTGTTGGCGCCTTGAGTTGAGGATGGAGAGAAGTACATCAGAGGGAAGGCCAAGGAAGAGAGAGAGATGGAGAGAGAGCATCTCTTGCAAGTCTAAATGTATTTTATTTGTGCAGAATTTTGTATTACCTTTATATGTTAATCACAGCAGAATCTCCCAAAACCCAATTACAATTCATCATCATAATGCCATCTGGTTATCCCTGCTAATGCTCCAGTAATGCTTTATCTGCAGTGCGTGCAGAAACGTTTGGAAGCACCGGTTTTACAGCTCAACAAGTACTGTGGTTGCATTTTAATGCACGTATTTGGGTTACATCTGTAACTGACGTGAAACACCCCATCATTGCATAATAATAGGGCAGGCTGGACAACCGCAAGTTTCAAACAAGACTTTAAAATGCATAAAAAGCACACAGCCTCTGTACATATGCAAAAAATATAATTTCCTGAAGAAGTGCATTATGGTCTTGTTGTCTTTGTGATCACCATCAACTGAGCCAATGGGACCGACTGATAGCAGCAGTGATGCCATGAGAGACAACTGTTTATCATCCTAATTTCAGATGGTTCCCATAGGCAGACTTTGCAGCAGTGACAATTGGTGACTGTACAATGATGATGAGCCCCAATTATGACTCAACTGGTCGACGGTTGTCTGTTAACTAGCACTGCCTCACTACTGCTGTCAATCGGTCACACTTCTTCAGGAAAGGCTGATGGTTCTGTGCTTTTACACATGTTCGTGTCTTGTTTGAATATTGCGTATTTGGGTGCAGTAAACATTTTACTGTAGTACGGCATGCCAGGAGCTAATCTACCCTTTGGCAAGGCTAGAGTTGAATATAACAAAAAAAATGTAAACAAATAATCGCGGTCGCGTACCAATATCTGTCGCCAGATTTCAGTTGTTTTGAAAAAAAACGTCAATTCAAAAGGTCGGAGGAGCTTCCACGGATTTCTATCGGCTTCATGGCCTATGCGCACACACCAAATTAGGCATACTGTCCTGGGAGGGCAGCAAGGTGGCTTGGTTACTGTTCCTCATGTGCATTATTTAAAGATGTGTCATTCTTTTAAATGCAATGCTCGTTAGATATGTTCATGGCCGCGTCCCATCTGTAATGCTGCATGACCCCACGCCAACGTCAACTCGCACTGTTAGATGCAAAAATATTTAGTTTTTTGTTTGAATGGACAAGTGATTGGACAGATGGACGAAAAGATAGTTGAACACGAGCGCGTGAAATGCAAGAAGCCCACTTGATTTCACTGCAGCAAGGCAGCTGCTATTACAATACAACAGACATTTTATTATGTATCTTACGCAAATCCGTCTTTTCTGAAACACACCAAACTTGCAGTACGGAGAGGCAGTTCATGGCAAGCAAATTCTCAAGTGGATTATGCTTGCGTTCAAGCTCATTGAGGCTTCAATATGACCTCGACACTGACGTTTCAAATAGCTCCGACGTGTGTGCAATTTCGGCATGAGAGCGAGTATCCTGGAGGACTTGTTCTGTTCTAAATTTAGAGTTCGCTCACGAATCGGATGTGTTCGGCTACCGTAGTTTTCCATGCCGACATGCCCCTTCCCGCAATGTTGGTCGTGCTTTTAAAAGGATCAGAACGCGCCTGACTACAAACTACATGAAGGTGCTGATCCTGACGCCACGTGCCAAATATATTCTGTAACGTGTGCCAAATTCATATTCTTGGTTCTTTCGGTGAAGTCACGTAGGAGGGAAACAATACAATAATATTGTTTCCCTTCTACGTGACTTTACCGAAGGAACCAAGAATATATTATTGTTTCCCTTCTACGTGACTTTACCGAAGGAACCAAGAATATGAATCCCTGCAGGCACGAAAGCTTTAAATCAAAAGTGTGCCAAATTGTAGTGCTGCAAAGCGCTTGTTATATCTCACTATCTATTGTGTCAGGTTGCCCGTCGTAGTTTGGCTCGACGAGCTTTAGCAATGTCTGTTGTGTCCTACGAGTCTCTTCTGAGGAACCTGCATTTATTCTGATGGCTGGAAAGTTGAGATGTAGGATGGGAGCGTAACAGGAGCAGAAAATTGCTAGCTAAGCCGTAGGGAAGGAGCTGTAATTTAACAGCGAGTTTGGGGCATGCTGCGTGGTACAGAGCGGTACTAGAGGATCAGATGGTATCTATTTGAGAGCCAAGCCTAGCTTTTACCTTTTAGAGCTAGCACTGTAATGACGCCACTGGATTGATAATGAGCAAATCACTTGGAATATTCCGGATGCTGTCAGATCCCATTAGATCTCGGCAACTATGCAGGGCTGAACGTGGATCGTGCTTAGATAAGTGAGAGCCGTGCACAGACGCGTTGTCATTTGCGCTGCAGGGCAACGTGGTGGGAATCAGCGAACACTATAGCAAAATACATTGCTGCACTGTACTCTGACCTACACTGACGAGCTTGATGAAGTATGGCCAAATAACACAGCATGGGAAGGCCCTCATCCAGTCGAGGATTGATAAAGTGACAGTACGTGTACACGTAAAAACTTATGGATTATCACAACCATAGCCACGATTGGTGTGATGTAATCGAGGCAGGCAGGTGGCCAACAAAAATAGTGCCGTATGTCGCAAAGTAATTGCCTGGCTTGACCTCGCTGTTCACAGTCGAGCCTTGGCGTATGTGAGAGAGCTCCTTTTTTTTTACAAACATCAAGGCAAAATGTAAATAAACATGCCACCTTGTAGAAGGTTGTGCGTGATGTCATTTTATATAAACTTACCAAGGGTGATGGGCAAGCCTATTTCATTCTAAACCGTGGACTCAAAACGGAACACGTTTAACCTGAACAGACTTTTGGGGGCAAGTGATTATCTTATATGGATCTATATAGCGCCTTAATCTAAGGCGCTTCACAATAATGATACAATTGTACGTAAGATGATAGTGGTTTAAATACTAATCGGAGTTGTTAAAAGTTGTGTAGTTATGGAGGAATGTGGGTGTGGTTAAAGAGGGTTGGCGTTGGGGTACTGATGATCGGGGTAGTGATAGGGATAGGGGTAGCGATAGGGATATGGATAGTGATGATCGGGGCTGGGGGGGATCTTTGATTGTTGCCTTTCAGCGTAGTGGGAGTGCAGTGGTGCAGTGGTTACCGCGCTGCACTACGAATCCAGCGACCCGAGTTCAATGCCCGCTCACGGCCAACACCAGTGACGATTATCTGAACTGGTCCTGGGCCTCCCCTAGGTCGACTGGGCCTCAAATGAGTACCCGGTGCAGTGTGTAAACATCGCCACTGGTAAGACAACGACGGTCGGGCATGGTGGTGGCCACTCGCCCCCTCGTGTACCATGCCGGCTTTCATAGGTGCTCGCTAACAGCACTTGCCCCAAAACTCTGTTTTACCAGGTAAGGCCCACTGAGCTGTATAGCTCTTTTTCAAAAGTGACCTGGCCACAAATGATATCTCAACTTAAGTGGCCGATTACGTGGAAATTTATAGAAGCCAAATACTCTTCAACGTATGTTTCTGAATGTGGAGGGGAAAAACTGGAAGACCTGGAGAAAAATCCACACAACCCCAGGGAGAACGAGCAAACTCCAAATTTACAGGCGTCAGGGTCGGGATCGAACCCACGACCTCCTGCATACCGGACGAGGTAGTTGACATCCCGCCACCGTGGCGTCTTCGTTGCGTGCGTGCGTGCAGGTGATCACGGTGTACAGCGTTCCTGGGCTGTGTTCCGACTGGCTCATGAGCGAGCGTGGGATACAGAAGGGCAAGGTGCCTGTGGCTTACCTCGAGCTACTCAAGTGAAGCGGAAAAACGCTCGCCACGAAGCACGGCACCTCTCGCAAGCACGCAATGAGCACACGCCCCAGTCGCCGTCACCGTCGCACTGCCTGCTGACGTTGGCGAGGTGACACCTCCGCAGTTTGCTTACGCGCAGCGCAGGTGGCAGTTGTGATTACCGTTGCCGCGTTTTTTTTATATGTAATTTTTTCCTCTCTTTTCATTTCAAAGTTGCTGCTCTGCAGATGTGTGCTTGGCTTACTACGGGAAAAGTGCTCATTGTTCCGATCGGTGCAAGTGCGGGCGGGAGGGTTATGAGATTCTCACATCCACGCATTGGTAGGCACGATTGGCAGACAGTTGAACGCTTGTCTTTTCTCTTTGGGCAACTTTGCCATTGCTAATAGCGGACTTTAAATCCCATGCTTTGAATGCACAGGCATATATATTATTTTTGCACATTTATTATCCTTAATATTCACTTTTACACTTTAATTTGAATAAAATGTATTTATATGCATGGCCTAACGCAGAGTCCTAAACTAAATACCATTAATTTCCCAAAGCTCTGACTTTGAATTATTACGTTTAGTTTCACTTAGGTCTTAATTACGTGTAACAATTCCACAGAGGTGCTGTTATCATTTACAGGGGAAATTACTTGCAATCATTGCAGGATACGGTCCATCTCACCAACCTTAGTGGCTTCCTCTTCTGAGCTATGTGCCACGTGATTATTTCTAGCAGACTCTACCCTCGCAGGTGGCTGTGAGATTTGAACTGTCCACATGCTGCAAACTCACTCAAGTGTTAAGATCTATTTAGTCAGCCAATTAGATATATAATTGCATTTAGTCTTTTTGAGCTTAATCAGATGTAGTAGTTCCACTGTTATTCTTATACTACCTGGATAGTTTAAGATGATGCCTCAATATGGATGTGATATGGACCAATTTGGAACTGCTGTACTTTTCAAATGGATTAAATGGACCAATGATACTGGCATGAATACATTTAAAAAAAAACTAGTCAATTAAGATAGAATCAGTGAAGATTATTAATTATATAAAATCATAGAAAAAGCTGCATATTTAGCGTGAAATAATGTGATCATTTCTTAGCAATGTACTTGTTTACCAGACACTTTGTTTTCCAATGTAAACTGAAGTATGCTCATTTAAGAAAAATAGGTTTTAAAAAATAAAGGGAAGATTTAGAAATACTGACAGATATCTTCACTGACAGTCGATTTAAAGAGACTGCCATTACCTTAAACGTACTTTAGATGTCACGGTGAAAATGATACATATTTCACGACCTGATTCCTCCTGGGGATGGTTTGCCTCGCATTTGGATGCTGTGCGCATTGTTGTGTTTGTTGAGAAATGCATTTCTGCAATCAAAGATTGATTGTGTAGATTTATTGCACAAGCCTTGTCATTTTCTCCAACCGTCATCGGTTTTTAAAGTGTAATTGTAATTACGTACTTGTGTTTGATATTACGTCTGTATTTTTGTTTGAGTACTTGTTTGACAAAAAAAAAAACATGTTGTCACTTTCTGAATGTTCAAATGTAAAAAAGCAAGCACTGCCCAAAACCGAGACGAAGATAAATTGTACCAATAGGCACTCCGACATCATTGTTCATTTCCGTTCCTTTGCTGAGCTTGAACTATAATTAGTTAACGTGGGGAAATGTCAGCGGGAGTAATGGAGTGGCTATGATAGGATATATTTAAAAAAAAAGTGTCTCTTCTCCGTTAAGTTACCATTCACTCTATAAGGGAGGAAACTGGAATTGTAAAAAAGAAACCATTGCCCGTTAACAAACAATGCAACAAAAAACAACGGCAATGATGCACAGGAGGGTTGTTGGATTTCCTTTTGTTGATGGGACAGGAGGTTCGCGAGCCGACGTGGAGTTGAGAAGTCTCCAAAGTAACATTTACTTCAAACATCCTTCGGCATCTATCGTCCTTCGTCTGTGAAAAATTTCGGTCTTTGCTGTTGCCAGTCGCTTTTGGTGATGGAAAGATAAAAGCAGAATTTAACAAAATAAAGCTCTCCCCCCAAGGTATTTCATAATTAACATATCTTCTTCTGTAGGTGACGCATGGTCATATAAAGTGCCTGACAACTTAATGATTTATTTTTCATGACCTTTCTAAGCCATAACATGGAAAAAAGATCTCCCTCATAAAAAAACTAAAATTGGCATCATACATTTTCTCGGAATACGGATGTGCTGCTGCTGCCGTGTCTGAAGGGCGCCACGGTGGCTAGGAGATGTTAACTACCTCGCCTGGTATACAGGAGGTCGTGGGTACGATCCTGATTCTGACGCCTGTATATTTGGAGTTTGCATGTCTCCCCGCGGTCACGTGGATTTTCCCTTCCAAATTTAGAATCGTGCGTTTCCAGTATTTGGCTGCTATACATTTCCACACGATAAGCCACTTTGTTGAGCTATCATTTATGGCCAGGTCGCTTCTGAAAAAGAGCTGTATAGCTCAGTGGGCCTTACCTGGTAAAAAAAAGTGCAAAGTTTAGTTTATGCTGGGTATTTCGCGAAAAAGATTGCTATGCATATTTGCCAGCCACAGACAATGGCGCGCGCTTAACTCTGGACACTCGCAATAGTAACAATTGCGAGTTGTCCTTCAATGTGTAAAATGTAGTGACGTTGTTCGACGTCGAAGATCTTCTTTGATGTCCTCGTGGTGCTTGTTTCTCAGTCTTGTCTAAACTAAGCATGCTACTTGTAAGAATGCTGTCGGTTGCTCTCTGTGTGGGTGTGTTTGCAGCTGGGAAATGAATTCCAGCTAAAAGAGGGCTTAGGGGCCATCCATTGAGTTACGTACGCATGGAGGGGGGAGGGGGGGTTAACCCAAATGCGTACGCTTGCGTATGGGGGGGGGGGGGGTTACTGACAATGTACTTACGCATAGGAAAGGGGGGGGGAGTGAAGCCTCGATAATAATTTGTCTACATTGGCCTTGAAATGAGTTAGATAGTCCGGCGGTGGACTATCTGTTTGCTTAAACACGTCAATATAATTCATCCTTGATCGTTTCTGCGTAGATTAAATATCGGCCGTTCTATAGGATTCGGGGGGGGGGGGGGGGGAGGGCTCGTCAAGCAGGTGGGGGGGGTGAAGTTTTGACAGATTTTTTGCGTACGGACCAAATGGATGGCCCCTTAATCCTGATGCTGACCGCATCACTGCGATGCGTCGGCCAGAAATAGTTGCTCGCGAATATCACCAGCCAGTCGCAGTCTGACTAAAGCGAGGGGGATATTGTTTGTTCTTAATTGTGTGTGCGCGTGCGTTTGTTTGTGTGTTTTGCCACATCCTGCATGTGTACGTGCACGTGGGTAGGTGTGCATGCTTGCGCTGAATATGCCGTGGGTGAGGATGTGTACGCAACAAGGAAAAAATAAAGTCGGCTGATGCGATGGAGCTTCTGCTAAGATTTGCTGTTTCGCTTTGCCGCGGGCGTAGAGGTGCCCTTTGATGCATATGCGGCTGTGGGTTTTTTTTTCCACCGTTAAAACGCGAGACGGGTGTCTGTACGACTTGGGAGATTCGTCTCGGGACATGATGCCTCTGTAGCGGGCACATACTGGCACGCTATGCTGCCATGGTTTATAGAACTCATTCAGTGAAAGCTGCTATATCCAAATGCGGAGCAAATGTCACACTGCAACGCCCCTAGGTGTACTGGTGGGCATTGGTGCTGTTAATTATATAGAGAGGTGGGCTATTCTCGGTCTCCGGCATCGTTTAAGAGAATATATAAAGGGACACGAGATTAATATCTGTTTCGCGCTAAAATATAATTTATATTTGTAGAATTAACCGTGTACTCTATTTCACCGTAAAAAATTCTCTCCACGGATGCTTGCTCTCCCCCTAAAAGATGTTTGATTTTATTTGGAGTAATATGAGTTTGCAGTGAGTGTTTTTAGATGGGGTTTTAACTCGGCAGCTGCGATCAGATCTGGAGCATTACTATTGAAAGGACTCCAAAAATATCTGCGGGCACTTATATCAGGTATACCGATAACCCAAATGGTAACTTTATATGTCCTGCCACAGATATGGTAACGGTACATCTATATATAAAAAAACTAAGGTTTAAGGTGAAACGGAATTATACAGGGTGCTTTAAAGAAAATTACACTTCTGAGAATTTGCAACAGCACCACAAGAAATGTGCTGCTGCCTCCGGGCTCTGGAGACCACCTGGAGATGATTCCAGGCCACGTGTTGACAACGATGGCAAACAAGTGGAGACTCTTTGACTTTTTGAAGCTATTAACATTACATTTGTTATCATGTTACAGTGTAGTATCCGTTCTTTTTCCATTAAAAACAATAGTCCCATATACGTGTTAAAACATTTTTGAAGCACCCTGTATATTAATGCGTGGGTTACACGTGTGGGGTTTGGTCAAATTTGGGGTGCGTATTTTTTTACAAAGAATCCCGAGCCTTTTACCCCACATACAGCTTTCGTAAGGTAAATCTCGACCGCATATGCAATTTAAACTTGAGGCCCATAAGACCACCACACAGGGCATACTGTATTCCCATGAGCAGTATCAGTAACCTTCATATCCACGTGGGTGACAAGAGGTACGAGATATTCCACAGAATTGTTTATTTAGCCAATGTGTACGTAGACTGGGTGGAGAACCTGGCAGCCTGGGCTGATAAGAATTGGAAGTGCTGTAATTGGAAATGCTATTTCCTCCTGCGAGCCACACCAGTCCTGTGTTACTCAATGTCTTGGCTTATACAGCAGCTGTAACCTTAGTTTATTGCTTAAGTCTCACGTAATTGGTCTGTGTCACTTATGCTAAGGCCGCAAGGTTGTGGGGGTTTCATGTGCAGGTAATCGTACTCAAGTATGTCGTAATAATGTGCTTAAAACACCCATTCATAATATAGGGCACAAGTGCCGTCAAGAGTCATTCTGATAAAGGGCACCATTGCCAATGAGATTTTTGCAACAAAAAAGGGATACAGCTTTTCTCTTCTTGTAATTTAGCTCCATAAAAGCTTTGTGATAAAAATACTTAAATGTGATTGGCTGGATAAAACAACCGTACGATCGTGTGGTCTATTGAGAGACATACAGTGAGGGAAAAAAGTATTTGATCCCCTGCTGATTTTGTACGTTTGCCCACTGACAAAGAATTTATCAGTCTATATTCTTAATGGTAGGTTTATTTGAACAGTGAGAGACAGAATAACAACAAATTACAGAAAAACGCATGTCAAAAATGTTATAAATTGATTTGCATTTTAATAAGGGAAATAAGTATTTGACCCCTCTGCAAAACATGACTTAGTACTTGGTGGCAAAACCCTTGTTGGCAATCACAGAGGTCAGACGTTTCTTGTAGTTGGCCACCAGGTTTGCACACATCTCAGGAGGGATTTTGTCCCACTCTTTGCAGATCTTCTCCAAGTCATTAAGGTTTCGAGGCTGACGTTTGGCAACTCGAACCTTCAGCTCCCTCCACAGATTTTCTATGGGAATAAGGTCTGGAGACTGGCTAGGCCACTCTAGGACCTTAATGTGCTTCTTCTTGAGCCAGTCCTTTGTTGCCTTGGCCGTGTGTTTTGGGTCATTGTCATGCTGGAATACCCATCCACGACCCATTTTCAATGCCCTGGCTGAGGGAAGGAGGTTCTCACCCAAGATTTGACGTTACATGGCCCCGTCCATCGTCCCTTTGATGCGGTGAAGTTGTCCTGTCCCCTTAGCAGAAAAACACCCCCAAAGCATAATGTTTCCACCTCCATGTTTGACGGTGGGGATGGTGTTCTTGGGGTCATAGGCAGCATTCCTCCCCCTCCAAACACGGCGAGTTGAGTTGATGCCAAAGAGCTCCATTTTGGTCTCATCTGACCACAACACTTTCACCCAGTTGTCCTCTGAATCATTCAGATGTTCATTGGCAAACTTCAGACGGGCATGTATATGTACTTTCTTGAGCAAGGGGACCTTGCGGGCGCTGCAGGATTACAGTCCTTCACGGCGTAGTGTGTTACCAATTGTTTTCTTGGTGACTATGGTCCCAGCTGCCTTGAGATCATTGACAAGATCCTCCCGTGTAGTTCTGGGCTGATTGCTCACCATTCTCATGTTCATTGCAACTCCACGAGGTGAGATCTTGCATGAAGCCCCAGGCCGAGGGAGATTGACGGTTCTTTCGTGTTTTTTTCAATTTGCGAATAATCGCACCAACTGTTGTCACCTTCTCACCAAGCTGCTTGGCAATGGTCTTGTAGCCCATTCCAGTCTTGTGTAGGTCTACCATCTTGTCCCTGACATCCTTGGAGAGCTCTTTGGTCTTGGCCATGGTGGAGAGTTTGGAATCTGATTGATTGATTGCTTCTGTGGACAGGTGTCTTTTATACAGGTAACAAGCTGAGATTAGGAGCACTCCCTTTAAGAGTGTGCTCCTAATCTCAGCTCGTTACCTGTATAAAAGACACCTGGGAGCCAGAAATCTTTCTAATTGAGAGGGGGTCAAATACTTATTTCCCTCATTAAAATGCGAATCAATTTATAACATTTTGACATGCGTTTTTCTGGATATTTTTTGTTATTATTCGTCTCTCACTGTTCAAATAAATCTACCATTAATATTATGGACTGATCATTTCTTTGTCAGTGGGCAAACGTACAAAATCAGCAGGGGATCAAATATTTTTTCCCTCACTGTAAGACTGCACTATTTTGCTGTTAAATGTGTTCATTTCGATAGAATGTTTGTTTGCATCTGTGCATTCCTTTTACATGCTGAATAAAAGTCTTTTACGCAAAATAACTGCAATAATCCTATATCTTTGGTAAATGTGTATCCTTGACTACGGCACTTAAATGTCATTTCACATGGCTCGCAATGCCAGCCCCTTGTGCATGTAGGACAAACGGGAATATCTCAACAAATACGCATTCATATTCTTGGTTCTTTCGGTAAAGTCACGTAGAAGGGAAAAAATAAAATAATACAAATATAAAACAATAAAATTCTCACGACGTTTCGACTGCAACACAAGCAATCATCATCAGGTGTGAAAACCACAGCAAGAAAATGTGAAAAAAGTGGCGGTTATTTTTAACGTTAGCACCACGGAGAGCGATTTGGCAGTTATTCAGATGGACGAGTCCATCTATGTTCGGAAA